TTAATTACTATAATTGGTTTATCCTACTTAGGTCTCCCTGGATTTGGAAATCGCCGCATACGACAAGCTGCTGGTGGGCGAGGAGGCTCGTCTGAACATCACTCCATCTACCAACGCGGCTACAGTGCAGTCCTTCAGCCAGTCGCTGCGCAGCTCCACGCGTGGCACGCCATCGCGTCGCACTCCCTCTGGCGCAGTGAAGCGAAAGCGCGCCGTGGTCGACGAGTCAGAGGATCACTGCGTCTCCGATTACTATGTGTCCGCCAGTGCCCAGGGCAACGTGGAGATCAAGGAGATCGACCCCGAGGGCAAGTTCGTAAGGCTGTTTAACAAAGGCAGCGATGAGGTGGCCATCGGTGGCTGGCAACTGCAGCGTCTGATCAACGAGAACGGTCCTTCGACCACCTACAAGTTCCATCGGTCGGTGAAGATCGAGCCGAATGGCGTGGTCACCGTTTGGTCGGCGGACACCAAGGCCTCGCACGAGCCGCCGTCGAGTCTTGTGATGAAGTCGCAGAAGTGGGTCGCCGCCGACAACACCAGGACGATTCTGCTGAACTCCGAGGGCGAGTCTGTGGCCACTCTGGATCGTATTAAGCGCGTGGTGTCCCATCATACGTCCTCCTCCCGGCTGAGTCGTCGCCGCAGCGTGAGCGCCGTGGATGGCAATGAGCAGCTCTACCATCAGCAGGGCGATCCTCAGCAGTCAAACGAAAAGTGCGCCATTATGTAAAATCAAATCTGAACCAGACAAACAAATAGCACACGGAAAGCATAAAACAGAACCCAAAACAAACGCTGAGAGGTACAGAGATTTATTATTCAGCTAAGTTATTTTTTGTGGCCGCAAGGCCAGTACTTTAATCAAAAACATTTTGTGTAGATCTGCTCAAGCAGCTAAGAGAGAATCTTCGTTTCGTCTGTACACCAATTCACTTTCTTAACCAATTCAATAGTTTATTTGTTTCAATGACAACGTTTCTGTCCACGTTTTATGTTTCCACCTAAACTGATCCATTGTAAACTTTATTTGGTATAAACTGGAGGCTTGTGCCTCTCTTATGCCACATAAAATTTACGTAACACCTTCACTTTTGTATTTGCCGCGAGAAGAACTTTGAAAATATTGCAAGAAAACAATATTTTCGATGTACTTGCGCTTCCCCTATTTAAGAAAATAGTTTTTAAGCAATATCCCACATAAACCAACCAGCGCCAACAAAAACAACGAGCACATAGTGAGGGATTAATAAGATACAGGTCAAGAGAATTAACTAAAAGATGCTCCTGACAACAGACATATTTATTTAAGTATTTTTTGTACAATCAGCATAAAATACATTATACATAATACATATATATATATATAGAATCATGCCTACGGAAGTGACAACCAGCCAGCAATATATATATTTTTAGCCATGGCCATAGGGTTTACGATCCCCAAACCCCCATCCCACGCCCCAAAAACGGCTTTCTCCCGGTGGAAGACCGGTTCTTGGGCTTCCTGCCGACATTTTACCGGACAAGTAACAATAACAACAACAGCGCAACACAAATGTACAACAATTACAGAAAAAAACGAAAGAAAATGGAAGTACATGTAGCAGCTCAGCGATCCGTCGCATTTTTTATGGGTGGGCGTGGTCGCGTTTTACGACGGCCTAACTAATTCAACGCCCACACAGACTATTATACACAAACTGATGAATACAACTACATTTTAAGTACATCTACGTTTATGTATGTAATTGCTAATAATTTGATAATTAAAATAAAACCATGTTTAATAAAAATTAGGAGCAGTCTTTGATTTACCGAGAGCAAAGCGGTAACTTTCGAAAAATAATTGTAATTCTAACGTTGTAAAGAGTGTACGGAAAACAATATGCCCTTTCGAGTTTGGTCTTAGCAGGGTATGCATTTCACTTTCGTCGCCTGGTGGCCCTTTTTCCGTCACTCGCTTTGCGTTTCTATTCGTCGCCTTGAGTTATTTTTGGAATTTTAATTTTTCTACGTTTGTGTGAGTGCTGCATACATATGCAATGCGGGCAGTGAAATCGCTCAAAAAATATATTTTTGAGTCAATTTCCGATTTCTTATCGATATCTCAGAGAGCAGAAACTTCTAAAACAAACGTGCTTTCAATTTATAAATATAATTTTTCTTCTTTTTCCGCCCCTGACTGTGTCTTTCAATAATGTGAGGTGTCAACCCTGTGCGACAATAAAGAGAGAGGTAAAAGCACTCAAATAAAACGCACTCAACGTAAACCACTCAAAGGCGAAAGATGCGGCTTAGAGTTCGTTCAACTGGAAAATGCAGTGACCGTTCAACCCGCGATAACGATAACAAAAGTATCTCAAGGTTGCTCCCAGTTGCATTTCTGATTATCTCTTATTTTTGTTAGCCGCAGAGCGTATTCCAACCGCAGCCGCAAAAACAAACTCAAACGCGAGCTAATCGCTGCATAAATTGCTGTTCGAATTGAACAATTGAGCAGTCTCAGTTCGCAGCTCCATTCGGAAATAGGCGACCAAAGCCAGTTGGAGCAAAAATCAAGTAATAATAATCATAAATAAGCAGCTGTTGGCACTCGTGTGTTCTGAAGGTGAGTGGCCAAGTTTATATATTGAACAAATTCAAGTACAATTCGCGTTGCCAAGTGAGAGCGAAAATGTTTTCAGTGAGGGCAACATCATAAATGGGTTAATTGTCAATAATTGTCAAAAAAAGTATTTGTGGCTTATAACTTATTATCACAAACAAATGAATGGGCCGCTTTACTCTTGTGCTATCTTATCCTACAATATCCACATCTAATCTAAATCCTGGTCTGGCTTTGCATTGTTAACGCCCTAAAGCGATAAGGCCTTTGTTTTCCATTAAGAACTGCCATTTCTTCTCGGCATTCACAGCGGGTAATGTGTTCTAGTTGTTCGCTGAAAAGTTGGGATAGCTAGTTCTGCACTTATTCATACTTTAATAAATCTTTCAGCTTGAAAATGAGATTGGTGATCTTGGAAACCAGCAACTCGGTCGGAGAGTGGGCGGCCAAATATGTGATGAAACGTATCAATGACTTCCAGCCGAGCGCCGACAGGTATGTATATTTGAACTATATACATTTGGCACTCAGTAACAGGCACTGTTTTTCAGATACTTTGTTTTGGGGCTGCCCACGGGATCCACTCCATTGGGGATGTACAAAGAACTGATCGAGTTCTACAAGCAGGGCAAGGTATCCTTTCAGTATGTGAAAACCTTCAACATGGATGAGTATGTGGGTGAGTCATGGGTACACTAAGAAGATTACCAGACCTGTTTCATGGCAATTGTGACCTATTGTTTTTAGGACTGGCCAGAGATCACCATGAAAGCTATCACTACTTCATGTGGAACAACTTCTTCAAGCACATCGACATTGAACCCAAGAATGTGCACATTTTGGATGGCAATGCAGCCGATCTGGTGGCCGAGTGCAATAATTTTGAGGATCAGATCCGCGAGGCTGGCGGAGTGGAGCTGTTTATCGGTGGCATTGGACCCGATGGGCATATAGCCTTCAATGAGCCCGGATCCTCATTGGTGTCCAGGACCCGGGTGAAAACCCTGGCGCAGGATACACTAGAAGCGAATGCCCGGTTCTTCGAAAACGATATGAGCAAGGTGCCCAAACAGGCTTTAACCGTGGGCGTTGGCACTGTGATGGACTCCAAGGAGGTGATGATCCTCATCACCGGAGCTCACAAGGCGTTTGCCCTGTACAAGGCCATCGAGGAGGGTGTGAATCACATGTGGACCGTCAGTGCCTTCCAGCAGCATGCAAATACACTGATGATCTGCGACGAGGATGCCACTTTGGAGCTGAGAGTTAAGACCGTGAAATACTTCAAGGTATGCCCGCCCTCGATTTCGTCGATTTTGTAGAGAACTGGGCATAGAACTGGTACACTGGTGCTTAGGTGGCTCCCCAAGGTGTTGGTCAAATAACCCCCTAATCACACTTGCATATCTGCCAATATTTAGATCCTAAAGTGAATACATGGGCACTCTTACACGGTTGTTAATTAAGTCTAAGAATTTGCATGCTTATATGATTGTAATATAAATGCTTCCACGGTTGTAGGTATTTGGTTAAGTAGAACGTTAAGAGAAACAGAACTTTGTTAACGACTGGCTGACTGGCCACTCCCACAATTTCACAGGGCATTCTCAGAGATCTAGACGAAGGCTCCCAACTGGAGGGCTACAAAAACTGATTTTGCGTAAAGTATACCGCTTTATTTTCCTTTTTCTATGCCACAATGCACTTTTAGAGACCAAAGCTATATTTAAGAAGGGCTATCTTTATTTCATCTGCCAAGTAATCGTGTTTGGAAGGAACACTGCCTGCGGCTGTATACTAGTTCTTAAATGCTTGGCTTTAAGTTAGAAAAGACCATCTGAAAATAAGGAAAACTTTAAATATTTGTGTTGAATGCTTTTTAACCATGTTTTATAATTTTAAGAAAAATAAAGCAATTTTCCTGGTTTTCGACATGAAGTAATGAATAAATACATCTTAGGACCTTGACATGAGTTAAAATGGAAATAAAGTTATTTTAGTACATTATCCGTTTAGGTTATTAGTAAGATTAGGTCTCCATATAAACTCTACTTACGATTAATAAACACTATTAAATGTAACATATTTGCAGAGTCTGATGGACGTTCATTCCAAGCTGATAGAGCAACAAAAGACGACGTAACCCCAGATAACCCAGCAAATAGTGGAGATCTGGATTCCATCAATCTACGAAACTCGTTACCATCAGAAGCAGCATTATAGTTTTTCGAATCAAACGAATTTTTATATAATAAATGTATTTTTGTATGTTATCGCTTTAAATTTTATAAAATTTTTGTGAAAGATGTTAAGTAGTCTTTTATTTCCAAAGTGTAAATGATTTAACTAAATTTTAAGTTCCCCATAAATAGTCAAAGTTAAATTTCATTGTATAATGTTGTAGTTTCCATGTTATTCTCTAAATTTTCTATAATTACAAATATGTGTATACAAGTAGTGGCTATGCCAGTCAAGAAGGCCCATCAGATCCTGCCCAGAATCTTGTTGTCCGTATAGACGAATTCCTCGTGATCCTCAATCAGGCGGAAGAGCTCCTTGGCATAGTAGATGGATCGCACCGATTCCTCCAGGATGAGCTGATGGTTCTGGACGGCCCGTCGCACCTGTTCGTGTATGAACATGGCCTCCAGTCGCTTGGCCCGCTGGGTCAGTAGACAGGCCTCGTTGCTCCGGAGACGCGCTTCTCCGGCCGTAAGTCGGCCCTCCACGACGGGCTGGTGACGTGCCGCGTGGCTGTGGTAGCTGCAGATGTCCCCAATGACGCCGGCATTCACATTGAAGATTCCGTCGGAGGCGCTGATCACCGTTCTGCAGGCGGCCGGAGTGCAGACCATTTCGCGTGCCAAATGCTCCCGGATCATCTCCTGCAGGGCTTCTCGGCGAGCAATGGTCAGGTAGCCCCTGCGGATGTACTTCCTGCCAATCTTCTCTCGCATCGCCTTGAAGCAGAAGACTTGTGTGCCCCAGCATTTACCTTTAAGTGGCTTCGGATTCTTGCGATCTGCTCGGGGCTCCCGGAAAAGTTGCCTCTTCACCCGCTTCAGGCTCTCCTTTTGGGCCGTCAGTCGCTCCGGGAGCAGGCAACTATTCACCTGGTGCCACACTTCGCCCGGCGTACTCAGTGCCATCGCACTTGTGGTCCTCCAGTACATCTTGTGACCCATGCCGTTCATCAGATACAACTGGCGGATGCACTCGTTGAGGAAGCTCCTCTTCGTGGGACTCTTGAAGTTGGGCGGATTATTGAGCACGTAGTGATCCCGCTTGTACACCACACAGTAGCCGTAGTCCTTGTCTCCGGTGAGGAGGCCTGGCTTTTGGTACACGATCAGCTGCTCGTCCTTGTAGTCGATGGGCGAGTTGAAGATGAATATCTGGTTCTTTAGGGCCTCCTCCTCGTTGGGTGTGCGGAACATCATCAGCTTCTTGGAGTTCGTGGTCTGGTCCATGGCTATCGGCGGTTGGAGTGTGTGTGATAATGATGAGGTTCATTTGACGGTCTTATATAGGGCGACAGGTACTCGATGTGGGTGGTGTTCTGAGCTGATTGTGATTTTCAGCAGGTCAGAATTTGGTTGTTTCTAAGCTTTAAATTGGAAATGCCGGTTTTATACCTGGGATGCGACAGATGTTCAGTATTGTCTGCCAATTTGCAGATTCCTTAAGAAAACCAGGTATAAGTAACAATAGGAAATGTAGCTGTTGGGATTCTATACCTATTCTGTAAATCAGTTTTATTTTATTTTTGAGAAGAGAACAAATTGTTTGCAGCTTGTATTTCATAAACATAATTTGTTTTTAGTGTAATTAAACCTTTAGCGATTCTAAAAACATGAGTAAGTAGACCAAATGGATAAATGCGATATGCAAATCGTATATAAACTGTAAGTTCTGTTACTCTAATCTTGATTGAATCCATAAGAAATATAATCGGTGCTTAACCTGTAGAACTTTCGTTATACGTGTATGTATCGTTATAATCGGACTTTTTTTTGGAGATTTCTGTTAAGAAGACCTTAATTTATGGAATAGTTATTTAATAGTTAATTATGGGAATAGCAAAAACCTTCGTAAGTGAGTTACGTGATCATTACTTTTATTAAATATTTTTTAGTATTTATTACTAAATATATATTCATACTGTATTTGCCAAATGGGACATACATGTAAGTGTTGGCAAAAAAATGTGCAAAAAGTGTTGGCAAAATCGAACGAAAGTTTTCAAGAGTCATACGGCTAGCAGATATTTCTTGAACAAATTGACTAATTTTTCAACAAAAATTTGACTTCAGCCAAATATTTCGTTCTGCTAAGTGTAAGTTTTCTCCTTTTAACTGGTAAGAAAAGTCAAACAGTCGGAGCCCTGACAAACAAATATCATCAGTCACGAGCAGAAAGCTAAGAGGACTATAAGAATTTAAAGCAACGCAAAGGATATTCAGGATATTGCAAACAGCTGATAACTGAAACTGCGAAATTATCCAAGGTAAGCAGGTAATAAGTCCACGTGTTTTTTTGAGTCTATAAGAAGAAATCCCGAGATGGATTTGAGTTTAGGCTGTGGCTTGCAGCATTTTTTATAACTTTGTCAACTTTGTGTTAATCCAGTCCAGGTGTTTGGGCCATAAACAGCGAAAATCGGACAGGAAAGTGGCCCAAATTCGCTGACAGGTAAAGCTCGTCTGCAGGTAAAAGCCCCTATTGCAGAAACCCCTTTTCGGTTTGGCTATAAGACAGAGGGATGGGGGATTGCAGCTGTCAGAGAGAATCCAGTCTTCAGATCGGCAACAACATGGGCAACGTAATGGATCGCAAGGTGTCCTGCTCAGAGGCACGTGCCACAAATACCACGCCCACTTCGATCGTAACTGAAAAGGAGCAGGAGACGACGAAGTCAGAAGTGGTGGAGCCACAGGAGGTTGTGCCCAATTTGTCGTTCCATTTGTTCAGCTATCGGCAGCAAATGGGCTGCAAGAAGCAGCAGTTGATGAAGTGGGCCACATCCAAGCTCGTACTCACCGAGGAGCTGCTCAAGTTGCAAAGGCGACGCCTGGGAGAAGCCAACAAGTCCTGGACCGACTTTGCATCCTTCTACTCGGATGAGGGCGACGAGGAGAACCGTGCGCCAACTGATGACGACCCAATGGCCCAGGAACTGAGCCACCTGAATAACTACCGAATGGAACTGAGGGGCACCATTCTGGAGTACGCCCAGGAGAAGATGAAGAAGCGGGAGAAAAAGAAGCTAAAGCGCCTGAAACGTCGCACCCTGATCTCCTCCAAGAAGCCCAGCAACAAGGACAAGCTCAAGTACTGGCATTCGGAGGTTGAGGAGCAGGTGGATTTGGATTTGGATGCCCAGGACCACACGGAAGTCATTGTCATCGATTAATGCAGTATTATTGATTTCTAAGTCTTAGTTCATTTATTCGTTATTCTTGTTGTAATTGTACATATACACTGATTAGATTAGGAAATATTAGAAATAAGTATGAACATATTGAATACAACATGTTTTATTTTCCGATCTGATACCCATTACTCATCATGCAGCACAAGGGGTTTTTGTATTTGAACCTTTTTATATTGTATGCTTCTTGGGAACTATACATTTTCTATACTTAAACCATTTGCACTCAGTTACAATTTTGATGCCGACCACGTGCTAGACCTTCTTGCGGACAAAGTGGTCGTAGAAGACAACATACCCTAACTTGGGAGAGTAGACCATCGATCGCTTGGCGTTTCTCTGGTAAATATTGTACTGGCCGCCGACCGAAATCATTTTGTGATCACCGCGATGCATAAACATCAGTCCATAGTGGTGGTCGTGCATCACCTGGTAGTTGTCGCTGTCCGTGTACTTGACCATGTTGTACCGGGGATTCGAGTAGCTGAGGTGGTGGGGCATGGGCTTCAGCCGCGACCGACCTTGGAAGACGCCCCGCCAGTCCGTGTGCTTGATCGTCTCGCGGTAGCAGTTGCGCCAGCTCATGTCCAGGTCTATGTAGCCGGAGATCTCCGAGCCGTCCACGTGGATGTACGAGGTAAACACGATCGTCTGAAAAGTACTTAGTTAAGAGTAGAGTGCACCAGCTAGGATATCGAACCCACCGATAGAATCTTGTTCAAGTTGAGCAGCTCGCGGGCCTTGAACTCCAGAAGCACTGGATCGCAGTTCGTCGGCGACATGAGATCGCTGAACAGGCCCACGTGTGCCATCTTCGGCCTAATGGCCTCCAGGGCTATGTCGACCCTTTTCACATACTCATCAGCGGTGTAGGGTATCTTAGTGGTGCGGTAGCCCAGCTGCACGATGGTCTTGATCGTGTTCTGATTGCTCAAGTATCTGTGGTCCGTGACGGTGGCAAACGAGGAGATGTAGTCAGTGTAGTTGTCAAACTCCAATACGCTGAAGTCCACGTTCTTTCCCTGTGAGCCCATTCTGCTGCAATCCTACTGCTGGTGTGGATGGACTTCAGCCAAGAGCAGGTCCTTGCTCTTTGTGTGGTTCAGGAAAAAGCCCCTGCGAGTGTGAGTGTTGTGTTTAAAAAGTGTATTTGCCGTGTGCCAGTGTCAGAGTTTACTTTCATATTTATTTACATTTTGTTTGGCTACACATACAAGGGATAAGGGATTACTTCTATATTCAGCCAGTAATGGAGGACTCGCAAAAGGAGAACACAGCTTCCAAAGTATATCGAGCCGAGGAGCAACATTATTCTGCGTTGGCAAATCGCAGGCAGGACACCGCCTACGATCAGTATTTGAATTCGTTCATCAAGCTGGAGGACAAGCGGTATCTACCCAACGCCAATGCCATAAACCAACTAGTTCCCTTGCGGGCCGCAGTGGGAACAGTCGTGATGACGCCCACCCAGTTCCGCGGTGTGCACTTCTCTCCACTGGGAACGTGCTTCAATTTCAGCGAGCTTGGTGTCTCCAACGATCCACTGATAATGGCACTTGTCGCGCGCGAGCAGCCGAATGCAACTAAAGCCATTTCGGTAAGGTATATATTACTAAACTCCAAGTAAGATAACTAGTAAGCAGCCACTACGCAGACCATCTTATTCGTGAGCACGCGAGACTCCAGGGGCTTTAATGTGTCCGGCTACATCGATTTTGAGCAGAGCTTGCGCAGGTTCAGGATTGCAGGATCCAAGTCCCACCCGTGGGCAGATATTTTCGCCGGACGCCGCCGCCTGGAGCCCAATGAACAGGACCTCAGCTTCATCACTTGGAGCAATGGCAGGCTGTTCTCCAACGACTCGGACAACTACAAGGTTGTGCCCGATGCCCTCAAGGGCTTGTGCTTCTCGCACAAGGGCGATGGCTCCATGCTCAGCATAGAGAAGTACATAACCGAGGAGCATCCGCTGTGCAAGTTCATAGAGTCACCCAAACACGGCTCGACTGTCGTATACGATCATCATGTGCGGCGAAAGACGTGACTGCTGCCAGATGGCATTATAATCGAAACGTAAATTCGCAGTGCCACAAATGATGCACTTCAGCCGGGCATCAAAGAGATTCGCCTGGCTGCCAGCACCAAAACACTCCATAAAGCGCAATCAAAGACCATTAATTGCAGAAATCAAAACAATATCGTGATCATGAGAGGATAAACAATCGCCAGACTGACTGATGCCGCCGACGTCATGGACAAGCGTCGCAGGGAAATGCGCGAGAGCACGTTGCGTATACGCCGAGTGGGACGGACTCTCAGGGTGGCCTGGAGAGAGATTCCCCTGGCTGAGATCCCATTCTTGGCCGTGCCAGCGAGTTCCGGCAGTCACGGCAGTCAGTAGCCGTGCGCAGCGCTCCAAGACTGGGTGCTTCCGTTGCGTGAAAATAAATTGTGAACCAGACAGCACTTTGTATCTGCTAGTTTTCATATTTCTTGTTTCTGTGACAGTCTGTGTGCGGCTGTAGATATAGATTTGTACATATGCAGCTGAGAAGTGAACACGAAATGGCTGCTGCATTTAGAAAATTCAATTAGTTTCGAGTGTGCTGAGGTGAACGGAAATTTGGAGGCAGCAAAAATGCGCCTTTGTCCAGTGGTCATCTATGCACTTGTAATCATCATTGGATTTCTGGAGGCGAGTATCGCACTTGGCGGCGACGCGCGCAACGAAATCACAGTGGGTAGGTCCATCGTTTGATCAGTAGGTGATGGCAATTGCTCAACGTTTTGCCCTCGAAGGTGCCATTTTCTACGAGAATGAGAAGGACATCGAGCTCAGCTTCGATCAGGCATTTCGTGAGGTCAACAATCTGAAGTTCTCGGAGCTGCGATTCGTGACCATTAAGCGCTTTATGCCCACCAACGACAGCTTTCTTCTGCAGCAGATTGGTGAGTAAATGCGCTCGGATGTGGGAGCACCAAGTTACGAGAAATTCATCTTCCGTGTGTAGCATGTGAACTGATTTCCAATGGCGTTGCGGCTATTTTCGGACCAAGTTCAAAGGCAGCCAGTGGTAAGCACAGCAAGGCAAGCACACAGTGTGTGAACATGGCCCAAAACATATGTTCGCTTTGTGACGATTCCCCCTTTCGGTGGCAGATATTGTTGCGCAAATCGCAAACGCGACCGGCATTCCACACATTGAGTACGATTTGAAGCTGGAGGCCACGCGGCAGGAGCACCTCAACCACCAGATGTCCGTCAATGTGGCTCCCTCCCTGTCCGTGTTATCGCGTGCCTACTTCGAGATCATCAAAACCAACTACGAGTGGCGCACCTTCACCCTGATCTATGAGACTCCGGAGGGTAAGTGTTGGCTTAGCTCCCATTCCAGGCATGAACTGCATTGCAAGTCCGTAGGTCTGGCGCGCCTGCAGGATCTGATGAACATCCAAGCGCTGAACAGTGACTATGTCAAGCTGCGAAGCTTGGCGGACTACGCGGATGACTACAGGGTATTGTGGAAGGAGACAGACGAGACCTTCCACGAACAGCGCCTCATTTTGGACTGCGAGCCGAAGACCCTGAAGGAGCTGCTCAAAGTATCCATAGACTTTAAGCTGCAGGGACCGTTTAGGGTACTGCCTCATTTGTGAAAGCCAGCAAACGGATAATAAGTCACTTATCATCTCTAGAACTGGTTCCTCACCCATCTGGACACGCACAGCTCGGGGCTGCGGGATATTTATAATGAAGACTTCAAGGCCAACATAACCGCGGTGCGCATGAAAGTGGTCGACGCGAATCCATTCGAGAGAAAGAAGACCCGGCTCACCAATGTGGATGTAAGTGGAGGGAGGACAACTGACTGCAGCCTCGGATCTAATCTAGCGTACTCCACAGCAAATATTGGGCAACCAAACCATGTTGCCCATTCTCATCTACGACGCGGTCGTCCTGTTTGCCACTTCGGCTCGAAATGTAATTGCGGCCATGCAGCCCTTTCATCCACCCAATCGCCACTGCGGCAGTCCGTCTCCATGGATGCTGGGTCCATTTATAGTCAACGAGATGAAGACCATTTCCGAGGATGATGTGGAGCCGCACTTCAAGACCGAGAACATGAAGCTGAACGAGAATGGGCAGCGGACCCACTTCAATCTGGAGATCTACAAGCCAACCGTGAACGAACCCATGATGGTCTGGACCCCTGACAGCGGCATAAAGAAGCGTCGCATCAACTTGGAACTGGAAAGTTCCAGCGGCACTCAGGATTTCTCGGTGCAGCGCAAGGTGTATACAGTGGTAACGCACTACGAGGAGCCCTACTTTATGATGAAGTTGGTTTTTATGGCGGTCATCTAGTTTTCCGCAGACTACAGCCTTTCACGATTTCCTTAGGGAGGATCACGAGAACTTCAGGGGCAAGGAAAAGTACGAGGGCTATGCCGTGGATCTCATCATCAAGCTCTCCGAGATGCTGGAGTTCGATTACGAGTTCATGATCGTTGACGGCAATGGCAAATACAACCCGGAGACAAAGCAGTGGGACGGTATCATCCGGAAACTGATAGACCACGTAGGTTGCCCCACAAGAGTAATAGTAACTCCACTTCATAGTTGCTTCTTATGTACGCAGCATGCCCAAATAGGTGTCTGCGACCTGACCATCACCCAGATGCGACGTTCGGTGGTGGACTTCACGGTGCCCTTCATGCAGCTGGGCATTAGCATACTGCACTACAAGAGTCCTCCGGCACCGGAGAACCAGTTTGCCTTCCTGCAACCGTTCGCCCTCGAGGTCTGGATCTATATGATCTTCGCCCAGTTGATAATGACATTGGCTTTCGTTTTCATAGCCAGGTGGGATTAGGTCACCGCTCTGGCTCGCAGCTTAAATGACTTTTCTTACAGGCTTTCGTATCGCGAATGGTTGCCCCCAAATCCCGCCATTCAGGATCCAGATGAGTTGGAGAACATCTGGAACGTGAACAACTCGACCTGGCTGATGGTGGGCTCCATCATGCAACAGGGCTGCGACATTCTGCCAAGGTCTCACCTTATACATATATGTTACTAATGGGTATCAAAACGTAAGCTTTCTGCACTCACAGAGGTCCACACATGCGTATACTCACTGGCATGTGGTGGTTCTTTGCCCTGATGATGCTCAGTACCTACACGGCCAACTTGGCCGCCTTCCTCACCAGCAACAAGTGGCAGAGCAGCATTAAGAGCCTGCAGGACCTCATCGAACAGGACAAGGTGCACTACGGCAGCATGCGAGGCGGCAGCACCTCGCTGTTCTTCTCGGAGTCGAATGACACGGACTACCAGCGCGCCTGGAACCAGATGAAGGACTTCAACCCGTCGGCCTTCACCAGCACCAACAAGGAGGGAGTGGCGCGTGTGCGCAAGGAAAAGGGCGAGTACGCCTTCCTGATGGAGACCACCAGTCTGACCTACAATGTCGAGCGGAACTGCGACCTCACCCAGATTGGCGAGCAGATCGGGGAGAAGCACTACGGCCTGGCCGTGCCCCTGGGTGAGTAGCTATGCCGCGGGTGCGCAGAATACGGATATCGATGCCAGTGCTCCTCCCTCTCATTCAGGTTCTGATTACCGGACCAACCTCAGCGTGTCCATTCTCCAGCTGAGCGAAAGGGGCGAGCTGCAGAAGATGAAGAACAAGTGGTGGAAGAACCACAATGTCACCTGTGACTCCTACCGCGAGGTGGACGGTGACGAGCTGTCCATTATTGAGTTGGGCGGCGTGTTTCTTGTTCTGGCCGGTGGCGTCCTCACCGGCGTCATCCTGGGCATCTTTGAGTTCCTGTGGAACGTGCAGAATGTGGCGGTGGAGGAGCGAGTGACCCCGTGGCAGGCTTTCAAGGCGGAGCTCATCTTTGCCCTGAAGTTCTGGGTCCGCCGGAAGCCGATGAGGATCTCCAGCAGCAGCGACAAGTCCTCGTCCAGGAGATCGTCCGGTTCCAGGCGCAGCTCCAAGGAAAAGTCGCGCAGCAAGACGGTCAGCTAGGGAAACTGGTCGGAAAATTGGACGATTGACGTCTTCTACTTTGGCATTTCATTAAAGAGTCTTCTACGAAATGAGGCACTCCATGGTGTCCATATATATTGTGAGCTATATTTGTAGAATTATTTTAGAACACAGAAAGCGCATTTGGGTATATTGAATGTTCTGGAGATTTTACGAGCTGAACAGATTTTCGAAACTTTCAATGGAATGAGTAGTTGCCAAATAATTTCGAAAAAGTACGCCATGTCGAAAATTATGACTAATTTTAGTACGATTTTCTGTTGGCTCTACTGTTTTAATAAATGATTTTTCTTACAAATAATAAATACTAAAAAAATAAAATTTGTGTTTATACAGTCAGCTAATTGTGAAATTATACTCTATACATTGTTTGAAGTGGCTTGTCTAATTTTAGAGCACATTTAGTGGTCCATTTCCAGCTAATACACGTGTCTGCATGGTCTAGATTAAAGAGTATAGACTCTAGAGTGTAGAGTCTAGCGTCTAGAGGTTGGACATGTGGTGGCTGCTCTTCTGGGCGCGCGTGGAATCCGGAGAACACAGCGGACTCCCCACAACGGCTGCTGTTCTCCATGACGTAGTAAGTCTCGAAGAGATCGCGCGCGGCGGAGCTTTAAAAAAGATACATTTTTTGTGATTGTCAGTGCTCGTGGAGCGGTGCCCGGATCTGGCCGATTTGTGGGTCGGAATTATTGCGCTGCGCGCTAAAAAATATAGCTGGTTTAGTGTGTTCCGAGTAGCTCTATTGTGCTTGGATTAAAGTTAGAATAATGCACGGTCTGCAGTTCCTGGTTCTGCTGGCGCTGGCAGTATCCAGTGGCGCCAATGAAGACACCTTAGTGGTCAAAATCGGTTGGTTGATAACTCAAGAGTACGCTGGGCATTTGCAAAATGTACGGACTGATTTCGTTTAGGAGCCATTTTCTTCGACACGGAAATAAAGCTGGCCGATGCCTTTAGTGTGGCACTCGAGGAGGTGAATGCGGTAAATCCCACTCTGAAACTGGAGGCCATCAAGCGCTATGTGACCGTTGACGACAGCATTGTCCTGCAGGATATTTGTGAGTCCTGTCGCTGCGGATGTAGTGCCCAATTAACCTGGTACATCTTACTGCTTTAGCTTGCGACTTGATTGGAAGCGGGGTG